TCTTTTCTTCTTTTTTCTCTCTCTTTCTCTTTATCTTTCTTTCTTTCTCTCTCTTCTTTCTTTCTTTCTTTCTTTCTTTCTTTCTTCTTCTTTCTTCTCTCTCTCTCTCTCTCTCTCTCTCTCTCTCTCTCTCTCTCTCTCTCTCTCTCTCTCTCTCTCTCTCTCTCTCTCTCTCTCTCTCTCTCTCTTTTTAGTTTTAGTTTTCTGGAGCGAAGGCTTGGCGTGTGTGCATACAAATAAGATTATGAATGGATGTATAGATAGATAGAGAAAAAGATAGACAGATAAATAGAGAGAAGGGGGGAGAGGGTAGGAGGAGAATATGGGGTGAGGGGTGAAGGGAAGGAGGGGAGAGGGAGAGGGAGAAAGAGAAGGAGAGGGACAGGGTTAGGGATAGGAGTGAGGGAGGGAGGAAGGAGGGAAGGAGAGGGAGAGAGGGAGAAAGGGAGAGAGGAGAGAGGGAGAGAGGGACAGAGGGAGAGAGAGAGAGAGAGAGAGAGAGAGAGAGAGAGAGAGAGAGAAGAGAGAGAGAGAGGAGAGAGAGAGAGAGAGAGAGAGAGAGAGAGAGAGAGAGAGACTGAGACAAACACCGAGAAAAACATACAGACAGACGAAGACAGAGACAAACAAAGAGAGATCACAAAAAACAAATCTAAAGTCAAAATACGAGTGTCGAATTTCATCAAAAAAGAAAGAAATAAAGAACAGAGACGGCGGCCGAACACGAAAATTCTCTTAGGCGTCGACATCCGAACGTGACTTGGAAAAAAGGTTCCCGGATGTAGACGTGACGAGGGAACTCCCGCCAGTCCAGTTTCCGCCTCCTTGCGCACAAAATGGCCGGCTGGGTGTGTCAACATGGAGGGTGAATGCGAACGCCGGTAGAGGGCTTCTTCTACCTCGGACATGGAGGGAAGGTAGAGAGAAAGAGAAAAAGGGGAGAGGGGAGAGAGAGAGAGAGGGAGAGAAAGACTAATGGGAGAGCGGAGGGCGAATGTGGGGAGGGAATGAGAGAAGGAATGTTATACGAGTGCTGCTTGCGAGGGGGCCTGAAGTGGAGAGAGAGAGAGAGAGAGAGAGAGAGAGAGAGAGAGAGAGAGAGAGAGAGAGAGAGAGAGAGAAGAGAGAGAGAGAGAGAGAGAGAGAGAGAGAGAGAGAGAGAGGGGAGGGAGATGGAGAGATGATGATGATGATGGTGACGGGAAGGATAGACGCGAGTAAAGGAAAGGAGATGAGGCAGGAGAGAGACAAACTACAAAGTGAAGGGGAAAGGAATATGAGAGGCGAGGGGTGAAACGATGCCTGAAGAGGGGAAAGGTAGAGAGCGTCGACATTTTTCGGGAGGAAAGTAAAATGGGCGAGGGGAGAAGCGCGGGAAGTAGCTCTTTGAAAAGCGAGGGGAGAGTTTTGAGTGAGGGGTGAGGGGAGCCAGGAGAGGGGAGGGTGGAGCGAGGCACCGTGGAGGCTGTATGAGGCCGACATGGCTGCTGCGGATGAATAACGAATGGAGATGCTGAGGCGCGGGTTTGGGGAGAAGGAGGGAAAACTTCCGCAGAGAAAGTCTGCATCTGTTTGTGTGTGTGTGTGTGTTTGGGTTCACTGTCACCAGCAACACATGTTTTATCTTAAGCCACAGAAATTCTGTAAATAGAGCATTGCTGCTGCGGGTTTCAACCACAAGGCGTGCAATTTGTTTTTTCCTGCGAAATGTCGCAACAGAAATACTGACGCTGACCTAGAGAAAGTTCGGCAATCTTTTTTCTCTCGTTGTTCTGTCCGAAAGTTGAGTTCACTCGCGCGCTGCGCACCGTAGCACTTCTCACTGGGACCACGAGTCGGAGCCTCGAGGGGCTCAGAAAGGGAACTCCCAGGAGGGGAGGCCCACCGGCCTGGGCACGACGCCCTCCGCCACCTCTGTCTTCACCGCCCCTCGCGCCTCGCTCTCCTTGAAACTCGCGAGAACTTCTCCCAGCTTGAGACCGTCGGGAGGGCGAGGGAGGGGCTGCCGTCAGTGGTCGAAGTACGAGTTCTGCATGAGGTACAGCTTGTCGATGGGGTTGATCTGCGGGTACATGGACCCCGCGACCCCCACCATGGCGGGCACGTCCGGGGGCGCCTGCGGCTGCTGCGGGGGAGGAGGGGGACCTGACGACCTGCGGAGGAGAAGAAAAAACGAGATGCTAAAGCGATGGATCTCCAACAGAACAAACTCGGACAGCTTTGGCACGTGAGGCGCGAGGGCGTCGGGAAGCCCGAAGGAAGGCGGTCTACTTACATCTCGCCTTGGTCGTCGAACTGGTCCATCCGGCCCTCCTCGAAGCTGATGTCGGAGCCGCAGAAGGAGTCGCCGCTGTGGGCAGGGAAGCTCTCGCCCTCGGGGGAGTACGGGACCGCCGAGCTCTTGGGCGTCGTGGCGTAGGGGGAGTCCAAGGAGTCTATGGGCGTGAGGCCGCCGTATTGCCCTGTGGGCGGAGAGGAATACGTGTTACTGGGGTTGCAA